GGCAAATTCTATGAATAAAAAATTTACAGAGGATGAAAGTAGGTGGCAATTAACTCACCAATTTCATTACTAGTCAGAAATTTAGATAAATAATGACATATCATTTCACTTCTGGTTAACTTCAAAATTGAAAAGACTAATAACACAAAGTATTGGCTAGGATGTGGGGAAACAATATAGGCACTTTGTAACCTCCATGGGGCTGACAACTTGGTCCCTGTGGCATACAAAGGTTCACACTAGTAGATGCCCAGCAAGTATTTGTTGAATAAATTAATCTTGGGGGGCACATTGTATTCCCTAAGGAATCAAGTCATATCGGAGAGGACACATAGAGAGGTGGGGTTGCAAGATAGCAGGGAAGGAACCTCCACGACAATTTAGTTGATTAAACTAATCTATTACCAATCAACGTGTGACAGGGATTGCAGCCAATCATACTTGTCTACTTTATCAATGTCATTGAGCAAAGAAATCTGTGACAGGAATTGAAACCAAATCAATTCAGAGCTGGGAACCATACCTATCTATTTAGAGGGTATTCAAATTTCATTTCTTTTTTTAGAATTGCAGAGTATTGAAAATTCATGTATTGGTATTTCCCATTAAAAAATCAAAATCACTGTTTTTTAGATTTTTTTCTAATTAGGGCACTAGATTTTAAAAATTATGATTAAATATTATGTGGACATCACATTTTCTGGATGTATAACTTACTTGCTTTCCATTGGGAACACAAGTATTACAGATGGTAGGTTCAAACATGAGGAAGCTCTGATACCTGTCCTACCACTTAGCATAGGAATGAATTCTGATTCTGTTTTTATAGTCATAAAACCAAGAAATACAAAAATTTAAACACTTTTAGCTGATACATACTTAGAAAATAAAATAGATGCTTTCCCTTGTTTGGGTACATTTTATATTAACTAATATATGTTCAAGTGTAAATGCTACATTTTTTTTTTGAGACAAAGTCTCACTATGTCATGCTCAATAGAGTGCTGTGGCATCACAGCTCACAGCAACCTCAAACTCTTGGGCTTAAGAGGCTCTTGCCTCAGCCTCCCAAGTAGCTGGGACTACAAGCACCCACCACAATGCCTGGCTTTTGTTGTTGTTGTTGTTGCAGTTGTTGTTGTTTAGCAGGTCTGGGCCAGGTTCAAAAACCACCAGCCCCAGTGTATGTGGCCAGCACCCTAACCACTGAGCTGTGGGTGCTGACCCTAAGATGCTACATTTTATCCCAAAAGTATCATAATTATGAGTGATATAAAATGATATCAAGGGTTTTATTAAAAAAGAAAGAATTATAAACATTGATATGGGGGAATTATTAATATTTTCTCCTAAAATAACCTCTCATCAAATTTTCTGGGTAGCTGGCTGTGTTTCTGATAGTTGGAGAGAGGTAGGTGGCTTTGAGGACCTGGTCCTAAGCTAAGTTTGATTTCTCTTAAATCAAAGAATGTAGAACTCTTAGGACTTTGACATCCCCCAACATTCTCAAATATTAACCAATGAGCAAATTTCATCTATCTATTATCTATCTATCTATTATCTATCTATTATCTATCTATCTATCTATCTATCTGTAGCCCATTCACTCACTAGTGAGCACTTGCTGAGCTTCTATTATGTAGAAGGAATTTTGTAAGCATGAGAAATACAAGCATAAAGAAAACTCAATCTGGGCAGCGCCTGTGGCTCAAGGAGTAGGGCACCACCGGTCCCATATGCTGAGGGTGGTGAGTTCAATCCTGGACCTGGCCAAAACTACAAAAACAAAACAAAACAAAACCAAAACCCCCCAGAAAACTCAATCCCATAGTTTAATGAAAGCCACTCATTATGGGACAAAGAGTTTTGAAAGCTCAGAAAAGTGAAGGAAGAAGAGGTGTGAACAGCTTCAAAGAGGTCATGGTGCCTGAGCTATATTCTTCAAGGAGTTTCCCAGGCATTTCAGGTAAAGGAAACTATATAAACAAAAGCATAGAATTTTGAAAGACGAGTGACAAAAAGATCCATGGCCCTGGAGGGAGAGTTGGGGGGGTGGGGTCAATGAAGTGGGAGGTGAGACCAGATAAATAGATGGAGAGCCACCCGTGAAGGTGTTTACATGCTCTGCTCCAGAGCCGGAGTTTATCTTATACAATAGAAGCCACAGGGAGGTTTAGAATAGTAGAATGACCTATAGAAAAAATGTCTAAAAAAGTGAGGAGGAGCCAGTTGGTGACCGTCTCCACGTATAAGGACCTATTTGATGCTATGAACATAGAAAGACATTGAAATCATGGCCTCTGCCTCCAAGGAGCTTACCTACAGACGGTGCCAAAAAGAATGTACACGCATTTTAAGAGAGGATAAAAAAGTCTTAAAATTGTAATCCTCCAGTCATGCTCGACTTCTGCAATTATAAGAGATACAATAGACAATACACAGGATATCAAACAGTGTGGGTAGATGTTAAGTATCACGACTTTAAGACAGTTTTTTCTTTTCTTCATATGTGCATATACATTTTTGGTACCCTCTGTATTATTACGTACTTAGCTCCAAGTAGATGCTAATAAAGTTCATGGAGGAGAAATCATTTGGGGGCGTGTGGTGAGGTAAGGCCTGGGGAGTGGGCAGAGAATTCTGGGACTGGGGAACTGGTAAACAAAGGCACAGAAGCAGAAATAGAAGGGGAACTATAGGTATGCACACTGTCAGCCTACTGTGTTCCAGAAACCAGGCACCATGACTTTCTCTGTACACCTGTGTGTACATTGGAATGGCATTGCATTTTTAGAGGGTTTTAGGAAGACTTGACAACTGTATAATTCTAAGTGTTTCAACTCAATTCGATCTGTTTTCTTACCACTCTCAAAGAATGATTTTTTTGATGAGTAGATAAACAGACAAAATCCCCCTTAAAACCTCCACCTTGGGAGTCAAGTACTAGTGCTTTGTCATATTTTTGAGTCTCATTCCTTATTCTCCTTACCTTTGAAATGCTCCCTTTCTATGGCATGAAAAGGCTTCCATTCCACCAGCTTCCTTAGCGCTGGAACAGATTTTCCGCATTTAGGAGACAGATGGATTTGTGTCACGCACGCAAACACGCACTCCTCTTACGGCACTTTTGAAAGCCTAACAGCTGGAGCAGATTAGAAGTTGAGAAACTGGCATTTTAACTATGATTCCAATCTTCATAAATGGTATAATTTCAGCAAGCCAATTTGCAAAGCATGTTCCTGGCTACTCAACCGGAGGGCCTAACATTTCCACCATTAGGATTAGGGAATTATTTCCAGAAAAAAAGGCGCTACTTGAATAGCTTACCTGAGGAATGATGATGTAACTAACTGGGTTATGAATAGAGAAAATTAATCGATGGAATTAGCAGAAATTAACAGTCATTAACTACCCCCCATGCTAAAAAGAGAATCCACTTACAGGATTAACATAAAGTAAAGTAAGAGTCCCAGAATCAGAACTAGGGAGGAATCTTAACAGGAAAGAAAAGGCCTGGTATGTTCCAGGGAGCACTCTGGGTCCTGGAGAAGGCAGGGCGTGTGGGCGCTAACAAAAGGCCTGTGTGGGCAGCCTCTTTGACGGGTTGCCCTGGGCTTCATTCCTACCATCGGTTAAGAAGTTCAGTGCTGTGCAGCTATTCATTAACATCGTGACCTCAGCCAAGTTTCTTAAAGTCCTGGAACGTCCGTTTCTTTACATGTAAAATTGGCATGATCACAAATGCAGGCGGTACAATGTGAGAGTGGCAAAGAGTAAGAGAAGTGAGTTATGTCGAACCCCAGGAATTCACAGGTGATCACCAAATATCCACTCTCTTCTTCTTGCGACCTCTCCCCTCTCACGTCCCAGGCTATGTGCTTCTCTGCAACACTTCCCCACCACCTAACCGTGAGAGATAATTTACTTCCCCATGGTTAGAGCAGAGCTTCTCATTTGTTCAGTACCTGAGTAATACTCCACACGGAAAGCCTCCTTTGAATAGCACCATCTTTGACTGACCTGTTTGCTGTCCCTTCTGTGACTTGCATTTCTGGGGTGTTAGGAAGAATGTTACCTTGCTAGGAAGATATTGGAGAAAAATTGGATTCTTCAGAAAGATGGCCAAATCTGTCTGAGGAGAAATTATTTGCCTAGTGACCTGTGGTCTGCTGCCCTCTAGTGACTGAACCAAGTCACCCCGGTGACTTTGTCTTGGTGTAGTGACAGTGCCCGGCTCAGGGGAGGGAATAGGACGTCCTAGAAGGGAAAAGAAAAAGACATATAGAATCTGGACATGTTTGCTTCCTTATTTGCACTGACCTATATATCTTTTGATGGAGAGATCTTTTGGAGAGACTTTTGAGGGAGAATAAAGTTATTAGGTACAAGGGGATAGGAGCAAAATATAAATTCTCAGAGCGGGGTTCATATAAAGTCAATGGTGGACCTCTAAGTTGTTGGTGTAAGGTGTGAATTTCTCAGACCTGCTGGATCTGAATGGGGCTGAGGGCTGGGAACCTGAGTTTATTGAGTGAGTTTCCTAGTGATTCTAGGGCATGTTCAAGTTGGAGGACTATGGAGTCTTGATACAGGTATCGTTGCTTATTTATGTTATTTATTTATTTAGACACCAAAGTCTCACTCTGTTGCTCCAGGCTAGTGTGCTGTGGCCTCAGCCTTGCTCACAGCAACCTCAAACTCCTGGGTGCAAGCGATCCCCCTGCCTCAGCCTCCTGAGTAGTTGGGACTGCAGGTGCCCACCACAATGCCCAGCTAGGTTTTCCATTTTTAGTATAGATAGGGGCTCGCTCTCACTCAAGCAGCTCTTAAACTCCTGAGCTCAGCGGATTCTCCCTCTTTGGCCTCCCAGAGTGCTAGGATTACAGGTGTAAGCCACCATGCCCAGCCTGCTTGTTTATTTTTTAATTTACAAATTGTTTACAGACATGACTGTTCTAAAGCATTGTGTATACTATGAAACATTCACAAAATAGGAATTTTTTAAAGATGAAAAACATAACTTGGAGTTTAAATGAGAACTTCCCATTCACATTTTGGATGAGAGAATGAATATAGTGGATGCTGATTAAATGTTATTTAACGGATCCTTGGGGCGACTGTGATGGCACAACACTTATTTCCCAAGAGTTGTGGCCCCAGCTTCAGCAGGTGTGATGAGGCTGTGTGATTCTCTATAGAGGTTTTTTTCTGTTTCGCGATGTCATTGAGAATGCTCTCTCTCGTTGTTTTTCTACCTCCCCACTATATTCACCTCTGATGCTCTGAAAAGTTACCATGTTTACCCTCATCGCCTACCTGATACTCTGAGTAGTACAACGTCTGGGTGGGAAATCAGGTAAGGACCGGTGTGTTGGCAATGCCCAGGTACTTAAGCAAATACATACACACACATACATAAATATACACACACACACCCCCACTCTTGGGACCACTCCAAGATGGAACCATTTGCATAATCATCTGCTATGAAACACTGCCTAGAAACAGACTTGAATGCACAATCAGACTCTTATCAGGCTTTTACTTTGTCTGGGGTCATGTATCTCTAACAATCTAATGAAATCTATGAATTTTATCTCCAGGGCATTTCAGAGGCTATAAAAACTTCTGGAGTTCTCGAAGTGTGGACTAGGGGGCAGAAGCATTAGTATCAATCATTAAGGAACTTAACAGAAATCCCACACACACCCTGGACCCTACTGAACCAGAAACTTTGGAGCTGGAACTAGCACTCTGTGCTTCAAAGCCCTTTAGGACTCAAGTTTGAGGATATTCCATAGCAGTTTCTGAGACTATCTCCTTGTTAGAATCACCTAGTGATTTAAAAAAAAAAGGGGGGGGGGACTAAGGTCTGAGCTCCAATCTCTGATCTCTAATTAAATTAGTATCTTTGGACATGAGGCCTGGACTAGACATTGGGGTTTTTCAAAAGCTCTGTAAAGGAGCTCAGTTCTACAGACCCAAGTTTTCATAATCCAGGCTACTTCTGACAACTCTAAAACCAGAGCTGAATAGCCACTGGGGAGCCACTGAATAGCCACTGAATAGCCAACATGGTGTCAGCCTGGCTCACAGAGTCTTCCTCATTTACTGAGGCAAAAATGGAAGCCCAGAGAGATGGAGAGGTTTTCCCGAGGTTGCACAGTGGCTGAGTGTCACAGCGAGCACCTGTTCCAGGGTCACACACTGAAGTAGTGAAATTAGTGCTCTTGACCGAGCCTGGAGAGTTGGGATATACAAGTCTAAAAATCATCTGGGAGTTTTGGCTGCAGATCTTTGACATCAGCTCCCTGTGGGTTTACCTTTGGGCGCAATGTCTGTAGTACTTGCTCCTCACTGTCATCCAGCTCAGTTCACTGACATTTCCTGAGAACAATCGCAGCTTTTGCTTGACCAGTGGAAAGCAGGAGAGCTGCAGTTTAGCACGGGATGCCTTTGCATTGACACTGGGAGGTCAGGGCCGGAGAGCCTGGTGGTGGGAGCCCCGCCTCTAGATCTAGGTGTCCGGGTTTAATGTCAGCTCTGCCACCAACTAGCTCACTGTTTCTTGGTTTGTTGATCGATTTCTTCTTCCTTCAGTTTCTTCAGCTCTGACACGAGGGTTACAAGAGCACAGCTACCCGTGAGTGCTGCGACCATGAAATGGGTTTGGCCCATGTGCAGGATGTTGTCTGTACTAAGAGCTACAAATGTCAGGTAGGGACAGAGTCTGCTTGTCACAGAGGGCAGAGAGCTCGAGGACCTGTCTTTTCTTCTTTTTTTTCTCTTTTAACTCTGGGGATTATAGACATCTGCTCTGAAGTCTAGCCTCTTTCACACAGAAGGGGTAAAATCATTCATCAGTTGCTTGGGAAGCAAACAGCACAGGAATGAGCAGTGGAGGTAGGAGGAACCGTGTGTGGTTCTCTGTATGATGAGACTTTGAGTGATCATATGGAAATACTGATTTTGATTATATTTTAATTGATCGTTTTTACCAATTTATGTTAGTATGGATGATAAAAGGTATAAATAATGCCATTTAAAGAAAGTAACACATTTGAATATTTCCAATTCTATATAGAGAATTGAAATTAGCCTAATAGAGCATCCCTTCCCAGACGTGTTTGGAAGAATTACTGAGGTGTATAGCTCAGTGAACTCTCATCCTCAGACCTTCTTAAGTTTGGATATTGGATTTTCTATTTGCTGCTCATGGGACCCTGGTAAAGTTATTTTTTCTAAACCTCACTTTACTCTTGTACAAAATGGCCCAATCACAGTTTCCACATCATAGGCCTGTGTCAAATAGTAACACATCTAGATTTAGGAATAACACTATTCAAGAGAACTATTGCAATAGAGAGAATTCCATGTCAGGAATCTGCAAATGTCCCAGAAAGAACCAGAAAAGGCTTTTCTTTTTTAAGGGTAAGCAGAGCTTGGGAGAAACAGGAAGTTGGGCAGGCAAGGGATCAGGACTCATGATGTTTCTGGGACTTGCTGATAAGGGGGCCTTTCAGTGCTGAGCTCAGGGCTGTGGGAGGTGAGAGGTCAGGCTCAGTGCGGCCACAACAAAGCAGAGGGTAAGAAATGGGCACTGCAAAAACTTGGCCAGTTGTTCTGAGGTCTTAGTGAAATTATCCATGTATATCACTCACCAAGGATTTGGGTTATTTTTAGTATAAATGTTTGATTCCAAAAATGCTTAAGAGCAGGCTTTTCTTTTCTCTTAAAGAGAATAACTCAGCCACATCATGGTAACAGTGACTACAGCCGACTTAGCTAGCTCCTATTATGCTCCAGGCCAGAGGTTTAGGAGAGGTGCAAATACAGATGAGGTGGTCTCTGAGCTCAAGGAGTTCTCTCACCCCAGACTCTCAGCCCAGGAGTTCTCACCCAGACACACAAAGAGTGTCCTGGGAGGACGTGGAGGGGTCGTCAGTACTGCAGAGATGGAAAACCCTGACCCAGGCAGAGAGACACCCCCAAGAAAACTAGAAAACCGTTCACTCCCTTCTCCAGATTGGGGGTGGCAGTGTTTGCTGTGTTTCCCCAGAGGAACACCGCAGGAGGGATTCTTGATCACTTTGGCCAAAGAAGAGAAGCAGCAGCCAGGCCCTGCCCACTACACCACTGGGGACTGCTGCCTGTCCTTGCTGACATGGCACCAAGGGGGCCTGCACCTGTGCACCTGCCCCAGGATTCTCCTGTGGAATCCTTACTCCTGGGCCAGGTCATGTGTCCCAGCTCCCTGACAGAAGGCTCTGTACTATCCAAGTCAGAGGCAACAAGAGCCGACGGGGTTTCAGTCCGTCTTGAGGGGCTCCAGCTCCTGCCTTGTGGCTGACGGCTTGTTCTACTCCCAGACTTTACATCAAGTCTGAACACCTTGCCGACTGCCTGCCCTGTGGACTTCAGACTCCAACGTGGGACGGGAAAACAGCAGCCTTACAGAGACCTCTTAACCAGCCCCAAGAGTTGCTTAAGGTTAAATTCCTGTAGCCTGTGTGTGTGTATGTGTGTGTGTGTGTGTTGTGTACAATAGGTCTTTGATCTCCGATTGAACCCTGAGGGAGATAATACCTTGGGTTAAGGTTAATGTTGCTAACACAGGACAAAACAATTTTGTAGAAAAATGGATCTTTTCCTCCCAGGGCCAGTCTCAACAGTCCTTTCCCATTAATTGTTCTTAGCTATAGCACTTTTCTTTTTTCTTTCTCTCCTCCCCTCCCCTCTCCTCTCCTCTCCTCCCCTCCTCTCCTCTCTCCTCCCCTCCCCTCCTTCCCTTCTTCTCCTCTCCTCTCCTCTCCTTCGCT